ATTAACAGTTACTTAAAAAATCTATTAGGGGAGCTACAAACATGATCAAGATCTGTGTGAAGCACTTTTTACAGTTAATCTCATGAGATCATATAAAGCCAAAGGATGTGCTTTATTTTCAGAGCATTTTACATCAACAACATTGCAGGATACAGGTTGCCAGTTATAGTGTGACACTTGTGGTATTGACTTCCTGAAGTGTCAGTCGATAAGAAACAGCCTGGTGAGTACAGTACAGAGACTATTAAAGTGAAGAAAACACCTGGAAGAGTTTGTTGTTGATTCTTTAGGAAACCACATTGAAAGTATGTGTGGGGGGTGTTGAATCTTGTGCTGTGATTCACGCAGCAAAAAGTGATCGAAAGAAGACAAGCGGTGGTGGAAGTACTCGGATCCTTTACTTAAGGAAAAGTAGCAATAACACACTGTGAAAATACTCCACTACAAGTCAAAGTCCTGCATTTAAAACTTCACCTGTTTAAGTTTAAAGTACAAACGATCAATTCGTACAGTACTTGAGTAAATATAGCAGAGCTCGCAGGCAGATTAAGTGACAAACAATCCCACCTTATCACTATCCCTGTCCTCCTCCCACCCACCGGATTGATCTGCTCTTGACCCTCCTGAGGAATCCTGACTTCTTGTTTAACACTCTATATCTCGTCTCTTTTTCTTCCTTCTGCTGTTTATTTGTGTGAACTACAGGAATCTGCCACTGGCCATCGCCATCTCCATGCCCATAGTAACAGTGATCTACATTCTAACCAACGTGGCTTACTACACCGTCCTCCCGATCAATGCAATCTTAGACAGTGATGCTGTAGCTGTGGTAAGTGCATATAATCCTCAATACATCACCCTGCTCTGGCTCTGTTTTTGTCAAGTGCAGCTTTACTCCATTTACTCTTCTCTTTCCAGACATTTGCAGACCAGGTGTTTGGTGTAATGAACTGGACGATCCCCCTCGCTGTGGCTCTTTCCTGCTTCGGAGGACTCAACGCCTCCATCCTGGCTTCCTCCAGGTGAGTGATGAGTGTTTTTTGCCGTCATTTCATCTCTCATTGTCACATGTGTCCATCGACATGACTCTGTTGCATATTTTTGTATCCCTGAAGACTGTTTTTCGTCGGCTCCAGAGAGGGGCACCTGCCTGACTACCTGTGCATGATCCACGTCCACCGCTACACGCCCGTCCCCGCCCTGCTCTTTAATGTCAGTCAGCACCTCACTCTCTTTTATTTAACGTTGTCTAATGGTTTCATTTAGCTGCCATGGTGTCTGTTTTATTAATCCCAGTGTTGCATCTTTAGGAAAATCCTGCCCACATTTCACGGTCTGACTTACGATGGCTCTTGTGTGTCTCTGCAGTGCATCATGGCTCTGATATACCTGTGTGTAGAAGACGTCTTCAGGCTGATCAACTACTACAGCTTCAGCTACTGGTTCTTTGTTGGTCTGTCCATTTTGGGGCAACTGTATCTGCGGTGGAAGCAGCCGGACAGAAAGAGACCTCTAAAGGTAACTTACCTGAGCCTTTTTGTGAAGTCGCTGCAGCAGAATGTGAACTTGCTCACAATACTCCTCTGATTTAGAAATGCACTCCTGTAACAGTGACTCATGATGGAGGATCAAAATCAATGCAGAACCAGAGATGTAGTCACTTTTTTTTGTCAAACCTGGTTCCTGCATTACCCACAATGCTCAACACTTTAGTCAGAGATTCAGGTGTGTGGCAGCTAATGTAGCTGCCACACACCTGACGTCACTTCTTTCTAACCCATCACCCCCAGATTTCTTTCATTTTCAAACTTGTACTCCTCAGCTCCAACCTACGCTGAAGTGACATCACTTGAGGCCTTTATGTACTGAAAAATAACTGTAATAAAAATATATTTACTTTCTTAGTACTTTGTTACACCAGCAGATCAGCTGAGTCTCTGACATATTTTAAAAAGCCACCTAAAGGCTAGCATTTTTAAACGTATTACTCTAATGGTTTTATATAGTTATTTGTGTTTTGTTTGACTATGCCCTTAAATTGTTGTTGTATTTCATGGTGTTTATTTGCACCTGTGAAGCGCCTTGTAACTGGATGTTATAGAAATAAAGTTTACCTATTCACAAACTAAATTTTTTTTCTCATATATTTGACCATAATATTACCTCTTTTTTCTGTCTTCCTCCCTCAGCTTAGTCTATTCTACCCCATCGTTTTCTGTCTCCTCACTGTCTTCCTGGTGGTGGTGCCGCTCTACAGTGACACCATCAACTCCCTGATCGGCATCGGCATCGCCCTCTCAGGAGTGCCCGTTTACTTCCTCGGCTGCTACACTCCGACCCACAAGAGGCCACTGTGGCTACGGAGCCTCATTGGTAAGAGAGCCTCAGGATTGTCTGTCTCGTTGTTTTCATACATTAAAAGCATTTTATTTGATTTTAAAAGCAGGGGCATCAAACTCAAAATACCTGTGGGTCCCTGGACAGTGGCAGAATAAGTATTTAGATCCTTAAGTTAAAGTACTTATACCACATAGCTGATCCGTAAACTTGATGAACCTCAAGTTGTTCCTACTTGAATATAGAAGTTTAATGCAACACAAATCTGTCAACTGAGAAGATCTTGGTCCAGCATACATGCGTGGACATAGATACTGAAAGCTTAAAGTAACATTACATTCATTCAACTTTATGCAGTATCTCCTCCGTCATACAGAATATTGTATCAACAAGGCAGAAGAAAGACAGCAGGCAGTGTTACTCAGGAACACTAACAAGGTCAACATCTTATCGTTACCTCTGCGCATGAGCCTACTTAAAAGTATGCCAAGTGTGAAGGACAGTGACGCCCTCTCAGGCACAAATTAAATATATATCTAAATAGAGTATATAATGAATATAAAAAAAGATACACATTCAAACAAACAATATTTTCCTCTGAGATGTAGTGGAGTAAAAGTGAAGTAAAAAGCTGCTCAAGTTTAAGCCTTGAGTACCTTGAAGTTGCAGTTTGAACACATTTAAACAATAAATTGTTGTTTAGTAGTGTTATGCTGCTTGAGATTGCACTGTATTCAATAGCAGCTTGTCAATGAGTTAGGAAGCATCACAGAAAGTAATAAAACCTATTGTCCACCTCTTTTGAAACTTTGCTCCAGGTGAACCTTCCAGTTAGAAAGAGACATTTTGGTGACATGTTCCAGCTTTTAAATGAGATTGCTGTTGGTCACAGTCGAGTAGACAAGTAGCGCAGGTAGGTGCAGCTTGATTAATGGGTAAATGTAAACTAAAAAAGCCCACTGTGATGTTCACATTTTACAGCCTTGTAGGAGATTAAATAATTAGGGGGGGATGTTGTCTCACGGGCTGGATCTGGCTCCAGGGCCTGTAGTTTGAGACCTCTCATTTAAAGGGATCCATTAATATAATTCAGCATTTACTGCATTAAATTAAATTAAAGACAGGCAGGATGAAGGATTTTGAAGTCATGTATTTAATGCTTTAATAGTGCCATATGGAAACAAACAAACACCTGTTTTTTTGCGTTTCTTAGATACTTTGGGCACAAACTGACTTCACACAGCTTTTTTAACAAGTACACAATATCTCTTTTGATTGGTGCGGGTATTTTCACTGAAAACAAAAGTCTAAAAAAATCATACTGATATCAACAGTCACATAACATTAGATTTATCAAACTAACAAGAAATTATAATCAAAATGTTAATATTGTGGGGTTGTTTTTTTTTTAAACTACCACTAACGGACATTTTTTAATGATTGCTTGATGTGTAAAATATTATTAAACAGTCTTAAGACTTTTTCTGTGCTAATAATTTACATCATTTTGTTTAGTCAGCCCTCTAAAACTAATTAAAAAAGCCCAAAACAGGACACATGGTAAGGGGTGACTGATCTAACTTTTGGAAGGAAACCACCTGAAAAGGTCTGCTTCTGAAAACTGCAGTGCACCATGGGAACTCTTCTCAGCCCAGTAGAGATGGCTCACTCAGGTGGATTTGAGTACACCTATTTCAACCAGATATCACAGCTGCAGAGCACCTAGTTGTGCCCCAGCGGTGAGCTGTTGGTTTTTACTTACAGCTGGATTTGTGCTAATAACAGCTCAATAACGGTTGCCCTAACGTTTCTCCTGCCTCCACCTCTTTCAGCTAAATCCGGCTTGGTGATTCAGAAGGTGTGCTACTCTGTCCTGACTGAAATGGATGACAAGATGGAGTAGATGTTTGGAGACTGACGCCGCACAAACACAGAGGCTCAACCTGAACATGTCCTTGACGCTCGCTGCCGCGAGGCGTCAATGGACAGACATTTAGTCTTGAGCTGGACCCCAGCTCTCTGACCTGTCAATCGTCACCCGGTGACAGTGTTAATGAACGTGTGAACGACAGCGCCCGGGTGCTTCTTGACAAGCTTTCACCCTGTCTGAGCCTTCGGAGAGAACATTTCAGAGAACACCTGTTTCTATTACAGAACTGTACATATTAGTAGAGACTATTTAATTCATATGTCTAGACAAGTATTTTGGTGGAAATTACATTTATAAAATACTTTTTGATTTTACTAAAAGGTGGCAAATTATTATGGTTAACATCTTTAAAACTGAATGCACTGCTGACCATAGACACAGTCTTGGTATTATTATTATTAATGTTATTTGCACAAAGAAAATCAAGTGGTAAAAGAGACTAGAATATGTTTCCACATTTACAAATGTGGACAAAGTTGATGAACAGTTTTATACTGTCAGCTGTGAGGTCTAGTGAAGGGCTACTCTTACCTAAACTAACAAATTACTTCTGCAGCGTCTGACTCAAACATGCAAACTGTTAAATGTGAAAGAGTTGAGTTGCAAACATGTATTTATAATAAAATTACTTGTTGACAACACAAATCGACTCGTTTCTCTCATTCTGCTCCAGGGATGTGGATTCATGTGTTGTGTACTAAACAATATAGTATACACACACACACCGAAGTCGTTGTTTTGAGGCAGATTTTACATTTTAATTAGAACAATACATAATGACAACCTTTGTCCTCTTTTCCATTCATAAATATGTACATAAATCATTATGCCGTCAAGCTACTAGCCAGTCTGATCTATCCAATAGTGTCCTTCCATGGCCTCGCCTTGCCACTAGCTGGCTTGCCTTTAGCCGATGCAGCAGCCATGGGTGGGTTCTGCTGGAGGGGATTGTGGGTAAAAGTCTGCCTCAGCGGACCTGCAGAGAGGAACGAAGAGAAGAAAATTTAAGAAACGCTAAACTGGAAGTTATACACGTGGTGTAGTGCTCATTATAAACACCTTGATAGAACAGAGACAATCACGCCAACGTCTCCACCTGGCTTTCAGGATGTGTGGGTTTATTTTATAAACACTGTGTTCTACTTGCTTAGTGCGTCGTCTCCATCCCGAAGACTGAGCTTTAGTAGACTTTTGGTCCCTGCTTAACGCAGTGCTAATCTAAAATAGTGTCAGCAATCTGAATGGTACACAGAAGACTCCTTACATGTTGTCTTTGTTACAGCAGTATCAGTCACATCTGAACTTTGAAATGCCCTGAATGTTTATTTTCAGATAAACATAAACATGCTTAAAAAAGGTTCAACAAACATGTTTGTCTGATGTAAGACGGCAACTAACTTAAGAAAAACATTATAATTACATTTGAGGAGCTGGAACCAGTAAACCTTTTTTTTTTTTTAACAAAAAAAAACAATGAATTGATTAATTGTTTCAGTTATTGGAAAAACTAATGCAACACAACACTACTAAGCAGGCTCAGACTTGACTTGTTTACACGCAGCCTGAAGGGACTACAAACTTCCATTTCGTTGTACAATCTTGTGTTGTAAAATGATAAATACATTGCCTTGATCCTTGACCCTTCAGTGCTCCAGTCACTCATATCAGAGTCCTTTATCACTTGTTGATTGTGCAGCACACTTGTCCGTATGTGTAGCAACTGTAGCAGGTTTAAAAATGTGTGTTTCTGTCTTGTGAGCTGCAGTCAGCGTCCGTTTAATCAAATCTTTAATCAACCTGTCCAAGGACAAAGTCGAAACCCAGCAAGAAACATTCTTAGGAGGTCAGAAGTTTTAAGGTCTGATGTAAGAGTTTAAAATGTGTATTTTCAGATACAAGTAATGGATTATTACTCTTTTTTCCCCCCAAAATCTTTGCTGGCTTTCAGTCTTCAGTAAAGGGACAGCTCACAAATAATTCCCAGGAAGATAAATTTTAGCAATTTAGCATTTTATTTTTCAAACGTTGTTGCAATACCTGGCTCTGTCCACAAGGGGGAGCACCTTTTCCACATCTACAAGTGTCCAGTCATCAGTCTACTGTGCATTACCCAAAACTTACTTCTTCAACATTATTTAACAACAGTATTTTGTTAAAAACATTAATTCATGATTTTAAATGGCAAAACATCGTCGTTTTAAAATACAGTAGTAAGAGAACAAGTTACTGAGTTACTTTTTAATACATGCAAGGATTAAATAATGAAGAGATTGAGATAATCGTATAATTTGGTGATCATTTTAGACAACCATAATGTTTGTATAATGCCACAAGCCAAAATGATTTTTTTCTGCCTGCCCTTTACTCTCATTTAGAAACAACGCAGCTGGAATAAAGCCCAACAAGGAAGCTGATGAAGCAGTTGTGCCACTGACCTTTAGCAGCGAGGTCCAGATGATTTTTGATTCTTCGTTCTCTCTCTTCCAGCTGCTGGGCCAGCTGAGCGTTTTTCCAGCCTGGGGAGTTACAACGCGGACATAATCAGTAAAAAAAGTACATGAAAGTCAAATCCATTTCCTATCGGACACAAGTTTAGACACCGACCCTTCTTCATGCTTTCGATGAAGCCGTCATTTTGGGGCAGGGCGGAGGCCGGGTGTTTGATCCTCTCCGGGATTCTCAACTTATCTCTGATCAAGGGGTGTCTGAGCAGGGCGACTTGAGCCAAGGAGAAGCAGTTGGAGGTCAGCCAGTAGGTGAACACCGCCTGAGGTTTGTTTGAGAAGAAAAGGATTTTTGCTGACAAAGTTCGCAGCAGCAGCGGGTTTAATATGTAGGTCCTGGCACCTACCCTTTCGGTATGATGTGAGGTGAGGTTAAACAAACCAAAGCGTATGAATGACAGACTGACCGTGGGGAAGTTGATAGTGAGGGGGAGGATGACGAAGGGCATGATCCTGAACACCGTCTTCATGGCTCGCAGATTGGGGTTGTCAACACCAGACTCTGCTCCCAGCTGAAAGAGAAAAGGTGACAATGTGGTGATTAAGGAAAAGCATGATTACATTCAAAAGTTTATAACAAGATCCTAACACCACTTATCACAAACTCTGTCCGTCTAATTACAATCCTATAAGTCTCACAATTGTCCTGATTGTTTATTCTGGCTTGCATTGAAAACACACAGACTGACAGGGTTGAAATTATTCTACAGTAGCCTTGACCTTTCTTTCTTTCTTCCTGACATTTTGGGTAAAAGCGGGCTGACCTCCAGGATGAAGAACATGGTTCCAGTGACGGCCAAAGGCAGGATATAAAAAGGATCTGCTGCTGTCAGGTCTGTAAACCAGAGAAGGCCTCCTGTCTGCAAGCTGGGCACCGGCAGATAGGCCATCTTCCTCAGTGCGATGAAGAAAGAGATGAAGACTGGTGCCTGAGGGGGAAACAGTAGGGTAGCATTTATAATGTTTTTAATGTCCTCACACATAACAATGCACCCTTTTTATTTCATTGAATTTTGTCGTTTAGAAACACACATTAAAATGAATATGAAAACTAGCTTTGATAACTCAGAAACATACTTTGTTTTTGTCTTACTAGCAAGTTGAGATTGATGATTAGGATAAAGCCAAAAACACAGAATTAATATTATTGTTTCACAGTTTAACAGGTAAACTAGTATATGGAGAGAGACTGACCTGCACCAAAGGAACAAGGAAGCCACGGAGAGGATTTACGTCGTGCTTCTTCTGGAACAAGTTCAGGTCAGAGTACGCTTTGGCAACTGTAACGTGCAAACAACAGCAGTTGATGAGGCCGGGCTTTTACACACAAACTAACATCATCTAAATTGTGACTGAAAAGACAAATGCAAGGGAGGAATTTTACAGTCAAATTTGTTTCCACTCTGTTTGGCCTCAGTCATCCTGGCAGTGAGTTTGGTCATCTCAGGCAGAACGTTGTTCAACTTGGCCGCCTCCCTCTGGCCCTTGACTATGACTGGAAACACAGCCAAACGAGCCAACACTGTTCCTATACGAGGGGAAGGGGGACAACAGAGACAGGAAGGAGGAAGAAGAAGGGAGGAAAGGGAATACAGGAGACTTTGTCTGAATCGCTTAAAATGAGATTAATGATAACATATCACCCTCAGACACTCATACAACCTGCCTAATTTTCCAGAACGCCTGAATGCTCACATATTGATTTATAGCTTCGTTGTTGAGTACTTACCTACAACAATGGCCCCCCACCAGGGCATGCCAAGATCTAAGTGCATGAACTCTAACAAGTTCTGGATCAACCCCACTGGCGTGTTGCCGGCCAGTCCCAGCTCTGCTAAAGTGGCTTCTGCGGCCTGCAGGACCTCCACTGCAGTTGGTGCAGCATCGGCTATCTGCTCAGTGATTGGTTGTGTTAAAACAGGGGTGAGGTCAGCGGACACAAGCTCTGGAGAAGGACCCACAACTGGAGGTGGAGGAGAGATGTCCACTACTGGTGCTGACATGGAAACTGTTTCAATAGGGATCTGCAAATATAAATGAAAGTGGAATTTCAGTGACAAGGCAAGTAGAGGTCTTGGATAAGTGATTTCATCTCAGACGTAGTCTCAGCCACCTGATCAGTGATTGGTTGTGCAATGATAGAGGCGGGGTCAGCGGGCAGAGAGACTGGAGGGCCGTCAGAAGCCTCCATCACTGGAGCTGCCACGACGCCACCCTCAGGTGGCATCTGTCAATATCAAAATGGTACAAGTGTAACCATTCATTCAAAATCTGAAAATCTCACATTCTGGCCAAGATATGACTCAATCAATCACTTTAGTGGATTTAAATACTTCCAATTTTTTTATGTTTCTATACTGAGACTGAGACAGCTTACAAAACTTAAAAGTCTACAATAAAACACGTTTGAGTTTTAAGCAGATATTTAGTATAATTTAAAGATAGAAATGCCACCATGGCAACATTTCACTACAAATGTCTTGGTGCCACGTTTCTCTCATTCGCAGTGTTTTAATGTCAGATGCATCCGTGTTCAAGAACAAGACTGATAAATACAGCACAAAATTGAAAGCTCCAAATTAATTTAAAAATGCCAAAGAAGGTAGACAATAGCCAGAAATGGTGGCAGTATTTCAATTCACCACACCATAAAATATAGCCGATAGCCTATTTGAGATTTCTGGGGCCTTAATGTACAACACATACAATTAACTGCACAATCCACAATGTAAGTATTATTATACATGTAAATAAAAGGACAATCAAACCAAATTCAAAGCACAGAACCGGTGCCTGCTGTCGCTTCCAAAGTATAGTTTGTAATACTATGAAAAGTTTGTTTACATTACAGACATAAAGCTCATAAATTAAAATCTGGTATTTTAAGAAATCCACAAATCAAACTATTAAATTATATATATCTTCAGCTCACATGGTTAAATATACAACGTAGGCTAAGCCTTAACACTGCTTAACAGCAGCTTTGCCGTTAGACTGATCACCTGTTTGCCCACTCACCTGTGAGCTGTTGTGTCTGACTGCCACGGCGTTCACCCAGAGGAACTTCCCGTGCTGTCGGCGACCCAGCAGAGTCCTGGTGGCAGGACTGCGACACTCAAACACCGTGTGCAGATGGGACCTTTGGAGCAACCGCTGATGGTGAACCAGAGGGACAGAGTGTCAGCCAGACGCACACTTTACACACTTACTTACTTGTATGATTATTGTTCTTATTTTCCTCTGTATAATAATTAGAAAATAAGGATATCCCAGATTTCCCAGTTCAGCCAATAATCAACTGCAAAGGGGTGGATTAAGACATAGGGGACATAAAGAATTGACAGTATGTGTTTTATTATATATAGTCTATCTATGAGTCTAGTCTCACTTTTGACTATGACAAGAACTTTTTATTACAAGACACTTTTTAATATAAATGTATATCATAGAACATTTTGCACAAACAATAACTGTGTCCCTTCAAGTTAATGCAGGTTAAATAATCAGTGCAGTAGGAGCTTTGCAGTGGTTACCTGTCCTACAATACATCTATGATTATTTGTTTTCTTTGAGTTAACACCTCAGATCACAGAACAATTCCCAGCTGATTCACCTGCCAACATTACCGACTCACAGAGAACTTGAAGTGGAGCATTAATTAAAACGTTGTTGCCTATATAAACTGAGCTCTGAAGGTCGTCAGATAATCCTGTTTCTTGTGTGAAAAATGACTTAAAACACAGAAGACAGAAACTGAGAGAAATCCACCTTTTAGCTGAACTCAGAACGTGCAGCGGGTTCAAGTTTGACCTCAGATAACAGGGATCTCTGCGGACATTTGTTTATTTCTACAGGACAGCGACTGGGTTTAGACTAAACACCATGTTTAAACATTTAAACCACAGCTAATGCCAGAGCAGCAGCCCAAGAAAGCTTTCTCTACTTCAGATAAATGTTGTGTTAGTTGTGTTAGACAGAGCCCTGCTGGCCTGAGGAGCCACACACATGTATGTTGAGTAAAATTTAATTATGTCTAAGTAAACCCCCTGCTGGTTTTAAGCACGTATTTCAGTGCTTCTAGCTAAACTGTCCGTGTTTATAAACCTGATGATTTAACAATTATATTAAATAAAGGAGGACTTTTACTGGAGAAGCTGTCAAAGTCACGCAGAAGACACATTACTGCGCAGCGAGGGTGCTAGCCTGCTAGCGAGTTAGCCGGGGAAAGTCTCTGTTTGTGTCTTTGTTTCGGAAGCAGGGATTAAGTACAGGACGTGAAACTGTAAAGAAGACCTACGTGGTTCCAGGTGTCTGAGAGGTGATGGTTGCCCCGGCTCGGTTTTCCAGTCTGTCTCAGGAAACATCTTGCTAGGCAGCCCGGAGTCACCCCGCTCCTGATGGCAGCCATGTTGGGAAAACGACAAACTACGGAAAGTGCGAGGAGTCAATCTTGTTGGCTGTTTGCACCACGCTTAACGCATTAAAAAACTGAGAGTGTGGCTCCAGCAGATCCAAGGTACAACATCCCAACTCTCTGTCCAGAAGAGAGCAGTCCCAGGACCCTATAGGTAGGCCTGCTGCACAGCACCCAGTGGTAGAGGACCTGAGAAAAAGAGACACACCGAGCCCACCTTGTGGGGAGTGAGAGGGTGATTTCAATAATCATTATACATTTATTATACACTAACAAACGTTTCAATTAACTTAAAATAAACATATGCATCTTTATTAATCTATCATGTTGTGATTTTAAAAAAACGTATCAATGACTGGATGTATTACGCCTACTTAAAAACGGCACAGTAAAAGTAGTCAATAGCATACAGCAGTATAATTACTTATGGAAGCAATGGGTTTTATCTATCCCACAACTAACAACTAACATCAAAGTTAGTCGAAAAGGCTTATTATTATGACGGGACCTTGACATTGGATTATTCAAAACAAGACAGTAAAAGAAGTTCATAGTATTTGTACAAGTAGTATAAGAAGTACTTAGTCCAGGAGTAATACATCAAATTTGTAGGTCTTAAGACATTTAAAATGTAAACAGTTTCTGAGTGGAAACCCTACATACAATAATTGAACAGAAAATAATTCCCTACTCATCCTACCTTGTATAAATTGAGGTAAAGACGTAATATTGACTGAATTGTGCTTAGGAAATACTATTGATTAATTAATAAATATTGATATGTTTACTTATTGAGGAAATATGTTTCTTATACAATATTTTACCTGACCTCTGTGAAGATTCCTAGTCATCGAGGTCATAGTTATCCAAGGAAGCTTAAAATCAAGGAGAACTGCACTGGGCTGAAGAGACTGGAAGATGCTTCACCTCTCACCTGAGTTCATTTTAAGAGCTAAAGAAGCCTGAAGAGAGGCAAAATGTCTTCTAGTATCTTCAAGACCAGCTCTCCTTGATTTTTAATTTAACTGTTTTCTTTTCATGACCAGACTGATAGGAATCACAGTTTTCCAGTTTAAAACACCAAAGAAATTCTTATAAACTGAGACTGGTTGGATTAAGTCTTAACATCAAGTCAACATAAACAGTATATATATATATATATCAGTAAAATCGAAACACATAATAAAGATTAAAATGTGAAATATCTGCAGTGATTACTTTTTTACTTTTTGACGATCATGTATCTGCAATCAATTATTTTACTTTTCATGGTGGTAGTTTTATATATATATATATATATATATATATATATATCAGTAAAATCGAAACACATTATAAAGATTAAAATGTGAAATATCTGCAGTGATTACTTTTTTACTTCCACAGACGATCATGTATCTGCAATCAATTATTTTACTTTACACGGTGGTAGTTAAAAAGAAGCTTATGGATCATATTGATCTTGTTCCAACTCTGAAATCTATAATTAACAAGCCCAGCCCTTTTCTGTGTCACTTCAATCAGTTTTCATTGCATATTTTATTCCATCGCATAGCTTGTTCTAGTGCATCAAACCAAGGGTGTAGAATTTAGCAGATGATCAGGGATGTTGCATGTCCCTATATCCTGCAATCCTTGTCCAGCAGTCTGTTGTCTCTTACTCTTGCTGTCTGGTGAGCTGAGTGTTTATGCTTAAACAAGGTTTTTCATGGCACAAATTGAGGCGGAGGTAGTACCATCTAGATCACGTGCACACACATGCATGTGTACCGTGTCTAAAATTGGCTCAAGCAAACACTTTTTACAAGCAACAAGTTATAATAATTATATGTGGAAGAAAATAACAATGATCACGTTAAAGCATATTTAATAAAAAGTAAAGGTGCCCTGTTCAACATTAAATCAAAAACAACAAAAAGCTAAGGTGTTAATTTACACACTTAACAAAAAGCAAGATGTTCAAGTCAAATCAAATATAACATCACCTACTGTTTTCATTTATAGTTCACAGGGTCCTCTTGCAGTATAGCTGATGTCAAGGATATTAAATGTTCTCTATGACCCCCAGGTGTTTATAATATTTCCTTACACATACCGTGCTTTCAATGTAAACATGATGATCTCAGGTTAAACTAGTAGAATTAAGATAAAAACATAATAATAATCCTAAACACATCTGGTGTTTTCAATACCAGACTTTGCTCCCAAAAGCAACAATTTTGGTGATTATTAATGTGAAGGACAAGTAACATTTAACTGTTCATACTCTGACACAACTTTAGCATTTTGTCCAATGCTAATATCATATTTATATCACACACACTTGCTTGTTGTAATTTTAATCATGTTGTTTTTGTCTGCAATGCACACACGACATCTAAAAGGCAGCCCTCTTCTGTTGTCCTTTTTTTTCTCATTAAAGGAGTTTTTGAAGGTTTTTGCTTGAGGTTTTGGGCAATATAAACAAAACTGACTTGACTTGAAGCTTGACTTCTCTGACTGTTTTACACAAAACACAAAAACAGTGTCCAAGAATTTATTTAGTTTTTTTTTAAATATATATTATTAGATTTTTAAATCACCACTAGAATTGTGTAAACGACATGAAGGGAAATGACAAAACAATTGTTTGGTTCAAAGTGATTAACATAAAGTCTAATGTAATCCTCACACAATCTTTTGTCTGAAATAACATTAGATGTTACAGTAATGCCATCTTTTTATACAGTATATCTCTCAACAATTTAACAAAACATTTTTTAAATAAAATTAATTAATTGAATACAGTTAAGACATTATTCAACTGTATAATTGTAAATTTGAAGAAAGTAAGAAAAGACGAAAACAAAATATAAAACAAAACATAAAATCACATTCTGTGAAAGTGATTTTATTAAAGTCAGTTTCCATTGTGTAACTTTCTCTTACAGACTGAACCCTCATTCTCATTAAGCCTTTTACATTTGCAGCTATTTACACAAAATCAATCCTGCTGAAAAAAAAAAAAAACTGAATCAGACTGAAGAAACAAAATAACATCAAAGTACAAAAAGAAACTCAAATGGCATTAACCAAAAAGATTAAATGGAAAATATTCAGTAATACAATTACTCAATCTGTAAGTACAATCCTGTGCATCAACACAGTAACAAGCAGCCTCATAAAAGAACAATTTGACTTATTCTGAACAAGGTATGTATTTCATCTTAATCTGACTCTGAGGCCCGGTCTGCATTTTTCCGTCTTTTACAAGAAGAATAAAAACACCCAGTAGTTTTTTTTCCTTTTGTTTTTTCCGCTCTGTGTTGCTTCAGTGGGGAGGAGAAATCCCACCATTTTCTTTTTGTATGACGTCTTTTTTTCAATGCAAGTTTCATTCCAACAGCTTGTTCTTGTGCTGCAGACGCTTTTAGCATTTTTCTGGCGTTGAACAGTTTGATTCATTTTTAATTACTCCTTTGGTCCAATATTTCTGTGGCTCTGGCGAAGGTGACACACTCAGTTTTAAATCGCAAAAGTCATTATTTTGTACCCAAATGTTAATGCCTTAGGAGCTTCCTCCTACAGTTTGTATGCTTCTGTATGTTGTCTCACTTCTTTTTTGAATACCACCCTCAAATTCTTCCTCAGTTATCTTCACATAACATGATCTTGATTGCCCTGAACCACGTCTTCCTTCACTTGTATCTTCATGAAATTCAGTTCTTGCCTTTGGTTGAGGATCACCATGTCTCATCTTTTCAACACTGCTAACTTCCTGATTCTCTGTCAGGTTTCTGCTTCCTGACGATCCTGCTTGTCTAACAGAAGAGTCTGCTCTGTTTTGAATGTGTTCATCGTCCTGCTCTTTGGCTTGTTTCTCCACACAAACATCTTTATGTCTTGAATGTGTATCAGTGATTTTCTGTTCTGACTGGTTCTGTCTAATCTCGTCTAATCCTTCATTGTTCTGATCCTCTACATCCTGACCGTTATCATCTCTGCTCTTTTGTTCCTTGACTCTCTTAACATCCATCTTCTCGTTTCCCTGTTGCTCATGTTTTGTATTCGTGCTTCTGCTTATTTGTTCACACCCCGGATCATCTTGTCCAACTTCCTTCTTCTCTGACTGTTCATCATCTCCAGTCTCTTCATCCTTGTAATCATGATTAATGTCTGGTCTCCTCTGTCTAACATCATCTGGTCTTCCACTGTCAGTGTCTCGATCCTCGACACTTTCTTCAAATTGAGTTTCTCTAGATAAGGGTCCTCTCTTTCCCACCTCTGCATTTCCTCCCATGTCCTCCTCATCAGCTGTCACTATTTTCTGTTTTTCAGCCTGAGCATCTTGAAGATTACTTAAGTCATGTCTTTTCTCATTACACTCCTGATGCTTGTATGGTTTACTCTCCCTGGAATAAACTCCCTTGTTCTGACCTTCCACATTAAAGCAGGGCTCAGGTGATCGTCCCACTCCTCCAGACCAAACACCGACTGTGTCTTTAGTTCCTGTGTCTTTTTCTTCAGCCTCTGCATTTTCATTACCTGCTTCTGCTGCCCCCTCAACTTCCTCTATCTCTCTAATCTTTCCAGCATCTCCAAACTGCTCATAGATACCACTGGTAGCAGGTGGGAAGCCTCCAGGAGTGGACACCTCCGAGATGTCTTCTAAAATATGTATAAAATAAATTCAGGCAAAGTATCAAACAATTTTATGCAGTGATCCACAAAACACATAGGTAAGCATATTGAACATGTTTGACATCTTACCATTAGTTTTCCTGTAAAAGAGAAGATAAGCATTGCTGGATCTAGAGAGAGAAATGTGAAAAAATTACATTTTAAATACAGCAAAACATGCGGCTTGTGTTTAATAGAGGGGCTTTCTGTTGTGCATGTGCACAAGCAGGGACGTACTGGGACTGAAATTCAGCCCGGGACTTTAAGATGAAGAGGCCTTTTTACGCGAGTGCCCCAGGATTCTTTGCAGTTATTTTAATACTAATAGTGTTTTTGTGTTATAAAGAGAATCAGATTACACTAAAGACCTTCAAGAAACTTTAGTATGACACCTGCCTCCTCGGGTTGTATAAGCAAGTCAACACTGCACTGAACATGACCAGGTCAGCAAAACCTAATCTGGAACACAAGTCACAGTATACTACTAACTACCAGCATGCCATGTGCACAGTCAGTCAGATTGATAAAATAGTTACACATGCTCACACATACACACTCACATACTCAATGTATAAAAAATATAATCAAACACTACAATGCAGTCCAATAAAATAGAGATGTGTGTGTCTGTCCTCACTTTCAACTTTCCCTGGCTCAGCTTCCCCTGTGCTGGACACTGCCTCTGTTTACTGATTGTACAGCTATGCATATGCATAAGAAGAACATCAGTATTAAATATGACTAAGAATAATGCATTTGCTAATTCTATCTGTACTTCGCTCAGGTTATTATCTAGTATGTGGAACTATTGGCATTTTAGCCTAAATGTAAATATGTATTATTGTGCTCTACTTTTCCTGTGTCCTTAATAAAGCTTTGATTGATTGATTGATATGAACAATATGATACCCAGCCCTGCACACTGCCCCTGTACATGTCACTGTTTTTGTACTGGTTCCATTCTCCTCCTCCTGTTCTTCTTTCTCTTGCTGCTTTCCTTCCTGCTCCTTCTCCTCGTCTTCACTCCACATCAATATGACTGGAGTCATCATCAAGCTGACCGTCTGCATCACTGACCTTAACAGCTAATAGACATGCAGAGTTTCCTTGCTTATAGAAGGATGCACACACACACAGCGTTCCGCTGCAGCTGAGCAGCAGGCCAGCCCAGTCGCGGATCATAAAGTAAGACGTATGAAATTGAAAAATAAAACGCTTTGAACACTGGGCCAGTTCGGCCTGAAATGGACCGGCCGTTCGGGATTGTTCCTGGTATTCCCGATTGCCAGTCCACCCCTGTGCACAAGCATACTTATGTAGGTTTACAGTACATGCATGTCAACTATTTTGAACCTACCTGTGGATATACTCATGCAAAAACTCAAGAAGTAATAATTAACTTACTTCTCAGAGTTATCCACCTGGAACGGCTGGTAATCAAGCTGTTGATGAAAAGAAGCAAACATGAAATGATGAATCAGTTTTTTGCACTGTGATATGAAACTGTACAACAAAGTGGTTTTGGAGAAACGTTCAACAACACTGTAGTTAAAGTGATCAATCTTACCAAAGTGACCTTGTCATCATTGAATCGATACCAGCTCTCATCATCCTTGATTGTTGCCGTGTAACATCCACTTCTAAGATCTCCTAAATGATCCACAACTGCATACAGTTCATATGTCTGATTCTGATCACCAATGGAAGAAATAACAGACATTAGAAAAAGGAATTAGAAAGAAATGTGTTTTGATAAAATACTAAAATATACAGTGTATATACCTCTGGTATCTGTAGAGTGTGGGGAACATCCACAGTGCAGTTGACTTTGACATAAGTCATGTGACTGTAGTCAAACTCAAACCTCTTCAACAGCAGCATCAAAACCTCTGGATGATGCTTTATGACACATTTCTACATTAAAAACACAGTCCAAAGATGTTTTACCATGTTGTTATAAAATCCTTAAAACACCAGAAAAATCACAGAGTTCATGTTTCTTCATTACTCACATTAGTAGCATCAGATTTGGCGTCACACTCTTCACAGTACATCTGGTTTTCTCCGCTGAAAACAGAAGGTCTGAAATACGCCTCAATGCCATTCACCTGATAAAACCAAAGGCAGACAACCAACAATCAAGCTATACATAGAATTAATAAAGACAAGTCATAAAGCTGACTGAACAATAGTTTTACAGTTTAAAAAGACATCCTTTAATTCAATACAGAAAGCCTCTTGATTTTTATTTTAAGGTAAAACATTGAGTGATTTTGGTATAATTAAGATTGTTTAATGGCAAGATAGTGAGAGACACAGGTGGACGTGAAGAATATCAAGTACTTGGTCATCATTATTGGAAAGCATCAAAAGCAGAATTGAATCACCTCCCTGCTGACATCAGACAGTCTGACTCAGTTGAGTGCTTCAAATCGTATGACTCATCTTTTTACCTTAACTTTTAAGTAGTTTCTATATCATTACACCTTGTACCTGTTACTATTTACCTTCAGGAGGGTTGATCGCAATCTCAATGAATCTATCAAGCCTAGTACTTACAGTATATACCACATTTGTCAACAAGAATACTGTAAACTTTCAGAAAACCACTACATCTCTCTGTTTGTTTGCTCTCTGACAAGCATAGTTTAAGGATCCAAACTGTGTGTGAAGCCCCTTGAGGGAAATGTGTGATTTTGCATGAAATTGATTGACTTGAAGATGAGTTACAGCGTTGGTTGGAGTTAAGCCAGACGCATATACACTTTCATCTGCATACAAATGGTTGTTAAAGTACTGAATATTAAGGGTAATGTTATGTATTTATAACAACAGTCAACAGTCAACAGTAATGGACCAAGAAAGCCCTGTTACTGACAGCAAGAAGGCATCAAAAATCCTCCATGTTTCCAAACCTTTGAAAGCTGTTCATTCAAATTTTATTTTATGGTCAAGTGTGTTGGGGTACAATGTTAACATTCCATGTAAAGTTTATTTAAAATCTTTAGATGGACTGGATCTCACCCAACACATGCAACATTTCCCCGTTTTTGATATTTCACACATGTTAATGGTGTTTCACTCAACTGGCGAGATTTTGATTAAATGCAAATGAAATATTTAGTTTACTATAAATCTCCTGTCAACAGAAAAATGCTTCAGAGGTTGCTGCAGGTTGTTGGATTCTTACCACACTGTAGTTTTCTTTACCACAGGACTCCATTAATGCAAGAAGAAGATGCCAAAATCTCTCATCGTTGTCTTTCTCTGTACGACATTGAGAACAAATGTTCTTGTGTGTCAACAGCCCGCCGAAGATCTAAAAGAACAAAAACACAGGCAATCATAAACAAGTATTATTATTTAACTTACAGATTCCCTTCGATGTTGATGATGTGTTTTACCTGCGACGCCTCAGGACTGGTCAGACTTAAAATCTTCTCAAAGTACTCAGCAGCATCACGCTGTTCATACACTGAGGGGGGAAGAGCAGAAATCAGCATGTATTTCTTAAACCAAAAAAAGGCAATATTGACTTTTGGTTAACTTCTCTTAAGAGAAGTTGTTCCGGCTCAACACCCACTGCTACAATTATTATTACTATCATTAATAATACTATAATTGTTAGTACCATAATGCATTTTCTGTACCACTATACTGCTTTTACTGTTTGTATTTCTGTGTGGACGTTGTGTTGGCTGCTCTCCTCCCACCCGCCCTCTCTTGCCCTTTCTCTCTCTCTCTCTTTCTCTCTCCCTCACCCCCAACCAGTCGAGGCAGATGGCCGCCCACCCTGTTCAAGTTTTTTTTTTACCTTCTGAAAGGGAGTTTTCTCTTGCCTGATTCTCCAAGTGCCAGCTCATTGTGGTAATTGTTGAATGTCTGTAAATAATATTATAAAGACCTATCTATTTAAAAAGTGCCCTGAGACAACTTTTGTTATGAATTGGCGCTATATAAATAAAACTGAATTGAATTAAGAGGCAAAGAAACATAACTTTGGATGATTAAAGGGATAATCAGATATTTTCTCTCTGTGAGTCTTAAATGACTGCATGGTAACACGTCTGGTGCACAGAATGCAGATCTAAATCAAGACCATAATTTAAGATACCTTAATGTAAACTGTCAATGTCCGGCATAAATAGGTTTGGTCCACAGGTGTCCTGTTCAAATACTGTGTTGTTCTGTGTGCTAACTCATACTGTACCTCTGTCGATCCCCAGCGTCTTTGTGATGTTAAAGGTGTAAGCTGTGTATCTTTTTAAGTCATCAAACAGTTGTTTAAGATCATGATCAATAGGGCCAGGAGTTTCACTGGTGGGCCTGAACAAGGATAGGACATGGTTATAAGACATAAAAAGGTTTTAATGAATCACATGACATGAACTTGGACTTTGAAACAAACCTTTCCACAGCTTCTCTGAAGTCTTTGGTCATGAACAGCACCTGCAGCACACTGTTCAGGTAACATGTTGCTCCTGGTTTAACAAACCGTGGTACTTTGCTGCTGGGAGGAGAATATCAATAATTCTTGAAATTTGTCTTAATAAATTTAATGTGGATGAAAAAACAGCCTGCAAGTGCAATAACAGGTTTACTTTTCTGATTACCTTCCCAGTCTTCAATCATGTTTTGTCTCACTAAACCTTCATTGTCCTGATGCTCCTCATCTCTTCAAGGATTGAAGTGTGACATCGCCTTCCAGACCCTCCTGTGGCCTCCTCTGTCTAACATCATCTGGTCTTTTTACTGTCAGTGTCCCGATCCTCAACACTTTCTTCAAGTTGAGTTTCTCTAGATAAGGGTCCTCTCTTTCCTGCCTCTGCATTTCCTCCCATGTCCTCCTCATCATCCATCATTATTTTCCCCTCATCTCTCTGTTTTACAGCCTGAGCATCTTGAAGATAACACAAGTCATTTCTTTCCTCATTTCACTCCTGATGCTTGTATGGTTTGAACTCCCTTGTCTTGACCCTCTACTTAAAACAGGGCTCAGGTGATCACCCCACTGCTCTAGACACAAAAGTGACTGTGTCTTTAGTTTCTGTTTCTTCAGTGTCATTACCTGCTTCTGCTGTCCCCTAAACCTCCTCTCTCTCTCTAATCTTTCCAGCATCATGACACTGCTCATAGTTATCACTGGGAGCAGATGGGAAGCCTCCAGGAGTAGACACCTCCCGGATGTGTTCAGTACAAGACCGTGGTACAAATTAAGGAAAAGTACCAAACAATTTGATGCAGTCATTCACAGTACACAACAGTTAATGTAATGAACATGTTTGACATCTTACCATTAGTTTTCCTGTAAAAGAGAAGGTAAGCACTGCTGGATCTAGAGAGAGAAATGTGAATATAAAGGAAGTTTTAAATATAGCAAAATGTCTGGCTTGTGTTTAATAGAGGTGATTTCTCTTGTGCATGTGCACAAGCATACTTATGTAGGTTTACAGTACATTCATGTGAACTATTATGAACCTACCTGTGGATATACTCATGCAAATACTCAAGAAGTAATAATAAACTAAAACTTACTTCTCAGAGTTATCCACCTGGCACGGCTGGTAATCAAGCTGTTGATGAAAAGAAGCAAACATGAAATGATGAATCAGTTTTTTGCACTGTGATATGAAACTGTACAACAAAGTGGTTTTGGAGAAACGTTCAACAACACTGTAGTTAAAGTGATCAATCTTACCAAAGTGACCTTGTCATCATTGAATCGATACCAGCTCTCATCATCCTTGATTGTTGCCGTGTAACATCCACTTCTAAGATCTCCTAAATGATCCACAACTGCATACAGTTCATACGTCTGATTCTGATCACCAGTGGAAGAAATAACAGACATTAGAAAAAGGAATTAGAAAGAAATGTGTTTTGATAAAATACTGAAAGATACAGTGTATATACCTCTGGTATCTGTAGAGTGTGGGGAACATCCACAGTGCAGTTGACTTTGACATAAGTCATGTGACTGTAGTCAAACTCAAACCTCTTCAACAGCAGCATCAAAACCTCTGGATGATGCTTTATGACACATTTCTACATTAAAAACACAGTCCAAAGATGTTTTACCATGTTGTTATAAAATCCTTAAAACACCAGAAAAATCACAGAGTTCATGTTTCTTCATTACTCACATTAGTAGCATCAGATTTGGCGTCACACTCTTCACAGTACATCTGGTTTTCTCCGCTGAAAACAGAAGGTCTGAAATACGCCTCAATCCCATTCACCTGATAAAACCAAAGGCAGACAACTAACAATCAAGCTGTACATAGAATTACATTACAAGACATCCTTTAATTCTATACAGAAACCTGACTTGTTTGATTTTTATTTTTAGGTAAAACATTGAGTGATATTGGTATAATTTAAATTGTTTAATGGCAAGATAGTGAGAGACACTGGTGGACGTGAAGAATATCAAGTACTTGGTCGTATCATCATTTAAAACAAGTCTGTGATTAAGAAGTGATGATTGGAAAGGATTAAAAGCACAGTGTATGTCAGATGTTGACATACAACTACCTGAATTTTACCTTAACTTTAAGGAAGTTGCTTATTCATACATCAGACCTTGTACCTGTTCCTGTTGACCTTCAGGAGGGTCGGTCTCAGTCTCAATGAATCTATAAAGCCTAGTACTTACAGTCCACGTTTATCCTGCTGACGAGAACACTAAACTTTCAAAAAATCTCTCTAACTCTGTTTGTTTGTTGTCCCACAATATGATCATCCAAGCTATGTGTAAAGCTCCTTGAGGGAAATGTGTGATTTGTGATATTAGGCTAAATACACAAAATTACACAGCTGTACCTCCCTGTGAAGCCCACTGACCTCAGTATGCTGGGTTCCCTACAGGACTACCTGGCTGATATAAAAAATAGATGTCAAATCATTTTCTTAAGCTAAATTCCAACAAAACAGAAATCCTTGTTATCGGGCACCAACATATCACAGAACAAATACTGTCATCTACTGGCTACCTGTCACAATATATCTAGCTGTTTGCAAGAGATATTGGTGTCTTGGTGGCAGTTTATGTTTTGAGCAAGACATCAACAAGGTGTCCATGTTTTTATTAACTCAGAAATATTGCAAAAATAAGATCTACTATAAATTCAAGAGATGCAGAAACTGTTGTACTTGCGTTTATTTCCTCACGTCTTGATTGTTGCAATAGTCTTTTCTCCTGTCTTAATCAAAAATCCCTGAAATGACTACAGACTGTGCACAACTCAGCTGCTCGGCTTTTAACCAGAACCAAGAGGCATGATCATATGTTTGACACCTGTTTTATACTCTTTAGATTGGCTCCCTGTTTCTTTTAGGATTGATTTTAGGATCTTATTGATTACCTTTCAGGCTCTCCATGGCCTTGCTCTAGATTGTATTATAGATATTTTAACTCTTTATAAACGTTTGTGGAGTTTGAGATCTTCAGGTTGGTGTCTCTTGTGTCTTCCAGCACTTTCTAGATTTGTTCGATAAGTGTTTAATAAATAAAGTTTATTATTATTATCATTATAAAACTGACTTGACTTGAAGATGAGTTACAGCTTTAGTTGGAGTGGAACCAGATGCATAATTACATCTGCATAAAAATGGATGTTTAAGTAGCCTAGGAAGAATAATGTTATGTATTTATAATGTAAACAGTAATGGACCAAGTAAAACCCTGTGAAAGCCTTTTGTTCACATTTCAATATATGATCAAGTAGCCTACTGTATGTTGGTGGACCATGTTTATTCTCCATTTAAAGTTTATCTTAAACTTTTAGGCGGACTGGGTCTCATCCAGTGTTGGGCAGGTTACTCAGAAATTGTAACATATTACTAGTTACTTAATACTCCTTTAAAACGTAGGGTACACGTCGTTACATTACTATATTACTTTCACTATGACCCCTTCCTTCACTCCCAAACAAAGCAGTCACTCCCGATTTTATCATCTTCATAACGCAGCAAAGTGTATTTACAAAACATATAGCCTGAGCGTTTCTTAATAAAATATAATAAAGCAAGTAAAGCCATACTTATAGGCTACATTTTTCTGCATATGTAGCCTACTTATAAGAGCAGTAGCCTATTATTCAGAATTAAAAAAAAACCTGTTGTTGTTTTTTCCTTGCACGCCACTCTCTCTCGACTAGTGTATGCATCACTGGCAGTAGGTGCCGGAGTTTCTTTCTGTAAGTTTCACGTTGCTGTGCTGCTTCAGCAGATGCATCAATAAATTAGATGAAGAAATGTTCGCAGTTGAAAACATTTTGCTGGTCGCAGAGTTTACAACGGACTACAACGTTCTTTGCATCTTAGACTGTGACACAAGATTTGGCAGTAGCTACTTCCAGCTGGTGAAAGGACGCCTCTCTACCTCGTTCTCCTTTCATCCTTTAGCTGACAGCAGACTTGAACAACAAAGTCAGTGACGTAGTAAAGCAGCGTTACTTGGATTAGTAACTGTAATAACATAACTGTTTTGGAAATGTAATCCGTTACACTACTTAGTTACTGGGGAAAGTAGACTAATATTATTACAGTAACTGCCCAAAACTGGTCTCATCCCTATTAGTATAATTTATATTCCCAATTTTTAATATATATTACATTGTTAATAGTGTTTCATTCAACTGAGGAGGTATTTGATTAAATGCAAATGGAATATTTAGTTTTCTGTATATCTCCTGTCAACAGAAAAATGCTTCAGAGTTTGCATGTTGTTGGATTCTTACCACACTGCAGGTTTCTTCACCACAGGAATCCAATAATGCAAGAGGAAGATGCCAAAATCTCTCATCGTTGTCTTTCTCTGTATGGCATTGAGAACACATGATCTTGTGCGTCAGCAGTCCGTGGAAGATCTAAAAGCACAAAAACAAAGATAATCATAAACAAGTATTATTATTTAACTTACAGATTCCCTTTGATATTGATGATGTCTTTACTTGCGACGCTTCAGGACTGGTCAGACTTAAAATCTTCTCAAAGTACTCAGCAGCATCACGCTGTTCATACACTGAGAGGGGAAGAGCAGAAATCAGTGTGTATTTCTTAAACACAAAAAAGCAGGGCTGACTTTTGGTTAACTTCTCTTAAGCAAAAAACAAACATCTGTATTATTAAAACAGTTATCAGATACTCTCATACTGTAGGCCTATGTTAACACATCAGGTCCACAGGATGCAGATCCAAATCACACATAAGACATTCAGCTATTTTAAGTCATCTTTATGTAAACTGATCAAATACCCCAAAAGTATGTTTTGACCACAGGTGTCCTGTTCAAATACTGTGTTGTTCTGTGTGCTAACTCATACTGTACCTCTGTCGATCCCCAGCGTCTTTGTGATGTTAAAGGTGTAAGCTGTGTATCTTTTTAAGTCATCAAACAGTTGTTTAAGATCATGATCAATAGGGCCAGGAGTTTCACTGGTGGGCCTGAACAAGGATAGGACATGGTTATAAGACATAAAAAGGTTTTAATGAATCACATGACATGAACTTGGACTTTGAAACAAACCTTTCCACAGCTTCTCTGAAGTCTTTGGTCATGAACAGCACCTGCAGCACACTGTTCAGGTAACATGTTGCTCCTTGGTTTAACAAACCGTGGTACTTTGCTGCTGGGAGGAGATTATTAATAGCCTAATTCTTGAAATTTATTTGAATAAAAAATGCTTAAAAGCGCATTTTCTGACCTGGAAAAGCATTGTAGAGAAACTGTCGACCATTTTCCCAAACATTCATTTTGAATTTTCAGTCTGCTCAGAGATTATCAACTGCAAAAGATTTTCTGGAAAACAACACTTTAGATTAGAAAACAGATGTAGACTAAATGCAGCACTAAAGGAAAATATGATGAACTCACCTTCAGCTGGAAGTGTTTTGTTTTGTTGTGTCAGTATTTGCAAACAGGCAGCAAGAGTCTTTATGTCTGTCTTTAAAAATAAAGTCGGGACAGTTTCTCTTTCACTTGATGACTCACCTACTGAAATGATGCATTCATTGTTTGTCGGAAATATGACAATTAGAAACATTTAAAACAAGATTAAAATGTCACAACCTTAGCCTATATGTGTAGCTTTGTTCAGCTGTCATATGTGGAACGATTAGTAAGTAAAACTTATTAGCCTATTTTGACATATGTTTATTTCTATCTCTCATTTTGTTCAGTGTAAAAACATGGAGATATTTCTTTTTGAAATAAAACCCAGGCTGCCTTTTACTTAAGTGAAGTAGTGAATCATCTCATTTTCCTCAGTAAACTACAAACTGACTGCAAATGCAGCATAATGATTACTTAATATTATACTTAATATATATATTACTTACCATATAGCCAGATAAAACCTCATCCTCCAATACCAAACTCACTTGGAGCTGTAGAGTTGTACTGTGATGCATATTTCTATGAACACCACAAGAGACAGATTCATTCTATATAAAATAAATATATTCACAACACATAAACACTATGTTCATATTCACATGTGTGTGTCTTAGGTACGCAGCTGAACAAAACTATAAATGAAAACTGACAGCAAGACTGTGTCATTGGGCATGTTTTTTTTTTTGCTTAAAACATGGAGGAAGTAAAGACTAAATGATGACATTAAGCTGTACCAACATGGTGTAGGCCTACATTGTTAACCTGTTCATTGTTCACTATATTCCCAGCAGCTGTAGTATCTGGAAATTCATCTCAAAATCCACATTCAAAACTATGGAAAAATAATTATAATTATTGACTATAAAAATATAATTATATTAAATTAATAAACAAAATTGCTAAATAATTTAAATGCAAAAAACATTATACAGTTTAGCCTCTAAAACAAAACCTGACTGTTCAGATGACATGTGGATTCCTGTAAATCTGCGAGATTGAAAGTGAAAATCAAATCTCAGTGCTCTTTCACAGTTACACAACACACTATATTCATGACTGCTTTATTTAGGCCAGGGCGGAGGCTTTCTGCTGGATCCTTTCAGAGATAATCAGCGTCTCTCTGACTCCCAGCTGTCTGAGTTGGAGGCAGGTGTATTTATACCTCAAAGATATATTTCCTGGTACAAAGTGTTCTTTGAAAGTTAACATCATGATCTCAGGTGAGGTTTAATTAGTGGATCGAGGAACATGTGGAAGTTAGACCATGTAGAAGTGAGGGGAGGATTAATAACAATCCTAAACACATCTGGTGGTATGAATACCACACTCTGCCACCACAAGCAACACTTTTAGTGACTTTATATTTATTTATTTAGCTGACACTTTTATCAAAAGCGACCCACAATCGCTACATACGTCAGAGGTCACACGCCTCTGGAGCAACTTAGCATCTTGTTCAGGAACACAGGGACAATGGATGTGTGTACTAGCGGGAACCAAAACAGGGACTCTTACACCAAATGCACGTGTCCACTGCACCATCACCACTTGAAACTCAATATCTTAAACTGTTTTACAGTATAAAGAGCCCACACAGTGTGAGGTAATCTCTCCTAACACAATAACTTTTGACTTCTCACAAAAACAGCATGTCCAGTGTCCAAGCATTTATGTAATTTTTTTGTATTTATTTATATATATTTTAAGTCACCATCAGAATTGTGCAAATGTCATAAAGTTACATGACAAAACAATATTTTGTTTCAAAGTGATAAACATAAATAAGCAACATTAATTTAAATTGAATTATTTCCTTGCACAATTTCTTGTCTAAATTAATATTAGATGTTACATTGATGCCATCTTTTTTTACAAATCTTTCAACAATTAATAAAAACTTTAAATTAAATTAAATAAATTTACACACTTTATTGTAAATTCCAAGAAAATAAGAAGCAACAAAAGAAAAAAAAAATGAATGATCATTCAGTCTCTGAATAATGATTTCAATCAATTAAATTTTGATTGTCTTACTTTCTTTTACAGACTGATGCAATAAATCAAGACTTGAATCTAAAACAACCCCCACTCTCATCACCCTCACTCAAATCTCCTTGATTTGTTAAATAGACTGGACATAAACTGCAGAACAGATTTCTGGCAAGTACAGTTGAATGTTGCTAGGTATCATTAAGCATCCATTAAAAATTAATTAAAGTACAATCTTGAGGATCACCACAATAAAAAGCAGCTTTGTAAAATAACATTCTTATTTAATCTGGAGAAAGTCTGTATTTTGTCTTAATCCGACTCTGAAGTCGGGTCTGCATTGTTCTTGCTTTTACAAGAAAAAGAAAAACACCCAACAGGTTTTTTGTGTTTGTTTTTTTCCTTTCTCTGTTTCTTCTTTAAGGCAGGCAAATGCCACCATTTTCTTTTTTTCTTTTCATGTTTTATTTCAGCATCCTGCTCTTGTGTGTCGGAGACTTTTCGCTTTGTTCTGGCGTTTGGATCAACAGTACTGTGTGTCTCAATCTCCTCTTGTGTGTTTCCAGTGAAACTTTTGGTTTGATGTTTCTGTGGCTCTTGTGAAGTTTCCTCACTACGTTTCATATTACAAACACTTTCTGACAAAGTGACCTCTGCATTTATTTTTGGATCTGATTTTCTTTTAACATTTCCTCCTGGTCTTGACTGCTCTGGATTACGTCTTCCTTTGATTGTATTTTCATTAAATCCAGTTCTTGGATTTAAATCCGTCATTATTTTCCCCAGATGGTTGATTGGTTTGCTGTTCCTGGCATAAACTTGTTTGTTCTGATCCTCTACATTAAAGGAGGGCTCAGGTGATCGCCCCACTCCTCTTGGTTGAGGATCACCATGTCTCGTCTTTTCAACACTACTAACTTCCTGATTCTCTGTCAGGCTTCTGCTTCCTGACGATCCTGCTTGTCTAACAGAAGAGTCTGCTCTGTTTTGAATGTGTTCATCGTCCTGCTCTTTGGCTTGTTTCTCCACACAAACATCTTTATGTCCTGAATGTGTATCAGTGATTTTCTGTTCTGACTGGTTCTGTCTAATCTCGTCTAATCCTTCATTGTTCTGATCCTCTACATCCTGACCGTTATCATCTCCTCTATTTTGTTCCTTGTCTCTCTTAACATCCATCTTCTCCTTTCCCTGTTGCTCATGTTTTTTATTTGTGCTTCTCTTCTTCTCTGACTGTTCATCATTTCCAGTCTTTCCATCCTTGTAATCATGATTAATATCTGGTCTCCTCTGTCTAACATCATCTGGTCTTCCACTGTCAGTGTCTCGATCCTCGACACTTTCTTCAAGTTGAGTTTCTCTAGATAAGGGTCCTCTCTTTCCTGCCTCTGCATTTCCTCCCATGTCCTCCTCATCATCCGCCATTATTTTCCCCTCATCTCTCTGTTTTACAGCCTGAGCATCTTGAAGATAACACAAGTCATTTCTTTCCTCATTACACTCCAGATGGTTGATTGGTTTGCTGTTCCTGGCATAAACTTGTTTGTCCTGATCCTCTACATTAAAGGAGGGCTCAGGTGATCGCCCCACTCCTCTTGGTTGAGGATCACCATGTCTCGTCTTTTCAACACTACTAACTTCCTGATTCTCTTTCAGGCTTCTGCTTCCTGACGATCCTGCTTGTCTAACAGAAGAGTCTGCTCTGTTTTGAATGTGTTCATCGTCCTGCTCTTTGGCTTGTTTCTCCACACAAACATCTTTATGTCCTGAATGTGTATCAGTGATTTTCTGTTCTGACTGGTTCTGTCTAATCTCGTCTAATCCTTCATTGTTCTGATCCTCTACATCCTGACCGTTATCATCTCCTCTATTTTGTTCCTTGTCTCTCTTAACATCCATCTTCTCCTTTCCCTGTTGCTCATGTTTTTTATTTGTGCTCTTGGTTCTCTGTGTACCCCGCAGATCTTCACTAATGTCCTGTCTAACATCGACAAATCCTTCATTTTCCTGATCCTCGACACTTGCCCCCTCAACCTCCTCTCTCTCTCTAATCTTTCCAGCTTCTTGGCGTTGCTCATTGATATCACTGGTAGCAGGCGGGAAGCCTCCAGGAGTGGACACCTCCCCGATGTCTTCAGTATCTGCAGCATGCACACAAAATAAATTCATGCAAAGTACCAAACAATTTGATGCAGTTATCCACAAAACACATCAGTTAGCATAATGAACATGTTTAATATCTTACCATTAGTTTTCCTGTAGAAGAGAAGATAAGCATCCCTGAATCTAGAGAGAGAAATGTGAAAAAAGGATGTTTTCAATACAACTAAATATGTGGCTTGTGTTTTATAGAGAGGATGTAGTATATTGAAAAAACAATTACTTCTGTATTTGTTTCTGAAGACAAGGTAAATACATAGATGAGAATTAGAATACCAGCAACTACGTACGCCAAACTTTTTCGTCATGTTTCTTCACCTGACTTCCTCCTTTGCTCCCGTCATCATCCACTAGAGGTCGAAGCCTAACTATAAATGTACTATAACCGCTGTATTTTTGGGGAGGACGGCCTGCTTTTTCACCCATCAATGGGGTGGGGTAAGTGGTAGCATTTTGGACATTAGATCGGGGATTGGGTTGGAGAAACAGTCTGCGGTTCAGATTGCAACACTGTGTAATACAGTACTTCAGCATGCTTAGGGGATTTATTCGTGTGAACTGTTACACATCTACATATGAAGAAATAAACACAAACATTTATGGATGGATAAAAAGAACTAAAACTTACTTCTCAGAGTTATCCACCTGGCACGGCTGGTAATCAAGCTGTTGATGAAAAGAAGCAAACATGAAATGATTAATCAGTTTTTTGCACTGTGATATGAAACTGTACAACAAAGTGTTTTGGAGAAACGTTCAACAACACTGTAGTTAAAGTGATCAGTCTTACCAAAGTGACCTTGTCATCATTGAATCGATACCAGCTCTCATCATCCTTGATTGTTGCCGTGTAATGTCCACTTCTAAGATCTCCTAAATGATCCACAACTGCATACAGTTCATACGTCTGATTCTGATCACCAGTGGAAGAAATAACAGACATTAGAAAAAAATTAATTAGAAAGAAATGTGTTTTGATAAAATACTGAAATATACAGTGTATATACCTCTGGTATCTGTAGAGTGTGGGGAACATCCACAGTGCAGTAGATTTTGACATAAGTCATGTGACTGTAGTCAAACTCAAACCTCTTCAACAGCAGTATCAAAACCTCTGGATGATGCTTTATGACACATTTCTACATTAAAAACACAGTCCAAAGATGTTTTACCATGTTGTTATAAAATCCTTAAAACACCAGAAAAATCACAGAGTTCATGTTTCTTCATTACTCACATTAGTAGCATCAGATTTGGCGTCACACTCTTCACAGTACATCTGGTTTTCTCCGCTGAAAACAGAAGGTCTGAAATACGCCTCAATGCCATTCACCTGATAAAACCAAAGGCAGACAACCAACAATCAAGCTGTACATAGAATTAATAAAGACAAGTCATTAAAAACATCAAGTGACATAAAAGCTGACTGAACAATAGTTTTACAGTTTAAAAAGACATAATTTAATTCAATACAGAAAGCCTCTTGATTTTTATTTTAAGGTAACACACTGAGTTATTTTGGTATAATAAAGATTGTTTAATGGCAAGATACACAGGTGGACGTGAAGAATATGAAGTACTTGGTCGTATCATCATTTATTGGAAAGCATCAAAAGCAGAATTGAATCACCTCCCTGTTGACATCAGACATCAGTCTGACTCAGTTGAGTGCTTCAAATCGTATAACTCATCTTTTTACCTTAACTTTTAAGTAGTTTCTATATTATTACACCTTGTACCTGTTACTATTTACCTTCAGGAGGGTTGATCTCAAATCTCAATGAATCTATCAAGCCTAGTACTTACAGTATATACCACATTTGTCAACAAGAATACTGTAAACTTTCAGAAAACCACTACATCTCTCTGTTTGTTTGATCTCCCATAATCATATGAGCATTCACACTGTTTGTAAAGCTCCTTGAGAGAAATGTGTGATTTGTGATATTAGGCTAAATACACTGAACAAAATTATAAAAGCAACCCTTTTGTTCACAAATCTGTCAATTTGAATCCTATCTATCTTTTGCCGAGATAATCCATCCACCTTACAGGTGTGGCATATCAAGATGCTGATCAGACAGCCTGGGTATTGCACAGGTGTGTCTTAGGCTGGCCACAATAAAAAGCCACTCGAGAATGTGCAGTTCCATCACACAGCACAATGCCACATATCTTGCAAGTTTTGAGGGAGCGTGCAATTGGCATGCAGACTGCAGGAATGTCCACCTGAGCTGTTGCCCATGAATTGAATGTTCATTTCTCTACTATAAGCTGTCTCCAAAGGCGTTAAAGTACAGGTTTAGCAAGGGGGTGCGAGAAGCTAAACAACTGTATGCAGAGATGCTAAAGGACCAGTTCTCTGCAAGTGACGCCACTTCTTTCTGGAGGGGTTCAGACAGATCACTAACTATAAATCCAGTCCCCCACTCCATCAACGACTCTCGCCTGGCAAATGAGATGAACCAGTTCTACTGCCGCTTTGAAAGTGACCCCTCCACTCAGCTTCAGCCCCAGTCCACCATCTCCTCCTCCCACTACTCAGAGTTGGCCAGCTCCACCCCCTCCCCTCCTCTCTCCATCTCAGAGGGGGAAGTCAACAGACTATTCAGGAGGCAGAAACCCCACAAAGCAGCTGGGCCTCTGACTCTGAGACTCTGTCTCCCCATCCACCCTGAAGCACTGCGCTGATCAGCTGTCTCCGGTGTTCCCAGACATTTTTAACACCTCACTGGACACCTTCAAAAAACTCCTAAAAACCCTCCTCTTCACAAAGGCATTCAACCCTGAATGACTTTTTGTTGCTCTGTCTCTACAATTATGTGTAAAGCGTCCTTGGGTCTCGTGAAAGGCGCTATATAAATATAAGTTATTATCACTGGAGACATGCCATTTGCCCGCCTGCTTCAAAGCCTCCACCATCATCCCTGTCCCCAAAAAACCAAGGACCACAGGACGACTTCAGACCACTCTGTGGTTATGAAGTCCTTGTGTTGTCCCACCTAAATCCACAGAACCACTCCTGGACCCCCTGCAGTTCGCCTACAGAGCCAACAGGTCTGTAGATGATGCAGTAAACATGGCCCTTCACTACATCCTCCAGCACCTGGACTCCCCAGGAACCTACGCCAGGATCCTGTTTGTGGACTTCAGCTCTGCTTTCAATGCCATCATCCCGGCCCTGCTGCAGGACAAGCTCTCTCAGATTAACGTGCCTGACTCCACCTGCAGGTGGATCACTGACTTCCTCACGGACAGGAAGCAGCATGTGAAGATGGGAAAAAATGTTTCTGACTCCAGGACCATCCCCGTTTCCCTCAAGGCTGTGTTCTTACCCCCCTTCTCTTCTCCCTGTACACCAACAGCTGCACCTCCAGTCACCAGTCTGTCAAGCTCCTGAAGTTTGCAGACAACACCACCCTCATTGGGCTCATCTCAGTAGGGACGAGTCCGCCTACAGGTGGGAGATCGACCATCTGGTGACCTGGTGCAGCCAAAACAGTCTGGGGCTCTGAAGACTGTGGAGATGGTCGTGGACCTCAGAAAGAGCCCAGCCCCACCCTCCCCCATCATCCTGTGTGACTCCCCGGTCACCACTGTGGACTCCTTCCGCTTCCTGGGCACCATCATCTCCCAGGACCTCAAGAGGGAGCTGAACATCACCTCCCTCACCAAGAAGGCCCAGCAGAGGATGTACTTCCTGCAGCAGCTGAAGAAGTTCAGCCTGCCAAAGACAATGATGGTGCACTTCTACACCGCCATCATTGAGTCCATCCTCACCTCCTCCATCACCATCTGGTACGCTGCTGCCACTGCCAGGGACAAGGGCAGGCTGCAGCGCATCATTCGCTCTGCAGAGAAAGGTGATTGGCTGCAATCTTCCTTCTCTTCTGGACCTGTACTCCTCGAGGACTCTGAGGCGAGGAGGAAAGATTGCAGCTGACTCCTCCCACCCCGGACACAAACAGTTTCAGACTCTCCCCTCTGGCAGGAGGCTGCAGTCCATCAGGACCAAAACCTCTCGCTACAAAAACAGCTTCTTCCCGTCTGCAGGTAGACTCATCAACAAGGTCCCCCACTGACACTCCCCCTTTGCAAATAATACAAATGTCTCTGCACATGTAAATACTATTCCATTTCATATCATGCACAAACCCGGCACATTGCACATATTTGTTGTTAATTGTTAATCTTTGTTGTTGTATATTTTTTTATTGTCAATTTATATATTTCGTTGCAATATGCACAACACAAACCCAGAATAATTGCACATGTAAATTTCTGCGACGTTGTTCTTTCTCTGCAAATAGTTGTACTATTTTTCTCTATTCTTTTTAAAATTCTTATATAACTTGCATCATCTATTCCATATTTATATATTTCTACATTTATTTATGTTGACTGTATGTTTGTCTACGTGTAGCACCTTATCACCACAGCAAATTCCTCATATGTGTTAAACACTACTTGGCAATAAAGCTCCTTCTGATTCTGATTCTTATTCTGATGAGGTCTCTGACTAAATGCAAATTGTATATTTAGTTTACTATAAATCTCCTGTCAACAGAAAAATGCTTCAAAGTTTGCAGGTTGTTGGATTCTTACCACACTGTAGTCTTCTTTACCGCAGGAATCCATTAATGCAAGAGGAAGATGCCAAAATCTCTCATCGTTGTCGTTCTCTGTATGACATTGAGAACAAATGTTCTTGTATGTCAGCAGTCCGTGGAAGATCTAAAAGCACAAAAACACAGATAATCATAAACAAGTATTTTGATTTAATGTACAGATTCGATATTGATGTCTTTACCTGCGACGCCTCAGGACTGGTCAGTCTTAAAATCTTCTCAATGTACTCAGCAGCATCACGCTGTTCATACACTGAGGGGAGAAGAGCAGAAATCTGTGTGTTTTTCTCAAATAAAGGTCAACATTGACTTTAGGTTAACTCAGAAATTGTGGAGCTTAAATGACTATGTTAAAACACACTTTTGGTGCACCAGATGCAGATCTAAATTACACATAAGATATTTAAAAAGGCTTTGTTGTTCTGTATGCTAACACATACTGTACCTCTGTCGATGCCCAGTGTCTTTGTGATATTATTGGTGTATGCTTTATGTCCTATTAAGTCTTTAAACAATTGTTTAAGATGATGATCAATAGGGCCAGGAGTTTCATTGGTGTGCCTGAACAAAGATAAGACATAAGACACAAAAAGGTGCAGCCTCTACAAAATTTAAAAGCATTATACTATATGTCATGAAGTTGAACTTTGAAACAAACCTTTCCACAGCTTCTCTGAAGTCTTTGGTCATGAACAGCACCTGCAGCACACTGTTCAGGTAACATGTTGCTCCTTGGTTTATCAAACCGTGGTACTTTGCTGCTGGGAGGAGAATATTAATATATTAATAATAATATTAATAGCCCATTTCTTGAAATTTGTTTGAATAATTTTACCGTGGGGAATATTCTTACCTGGAGGGGGAATAGACCTTTTGTAGAATATCTGTAGACCATTTTCCCAGAAAAAACTCATTTTTTATTCCTATTTGCTGTTTATTAGTCCACTTCTACGCTGCTGTCTGTCAGTTTACAATCAAGTATTAGCTTTTGACAATCAAATGGGGAAGGACGTTAGTCGCTTATATTTTGAAAACAAACACAAATGCAGAAATATACGAGCCTACCTTCAGTTATAAGATTCACAGAAAAACAAATGCTTCTCTCATATTGTCGACGAACACGAACAGATCTCTCTTCCTCTCAGCCAAGGGCACACTTTCTCTTTCACTTACCTGCTGGAATGCAGCATTCAGGGTGTGTCGGAAATATGGACTTTTATTGACAGACTGCTCACGTGACTTGCTAGGAAATGTTAGGCTATATTATTGCGCAAACAACCTTTTAATTCTCCCGTTGTAAAATTAATCACAAATCGAACCGAAAAGCGTCTTTTGTGTCTTTCCTCTCAGATTCACAGGAGGACAAAAATCTGCAGCAGCTGGAAGACACACAATTATTTTTTATAGGGTTAGAAATGGCACATATCCTGTTTCTGAATCATAGATAGAAGCATATACCATATCCATAACCACCTTAACTTTGTGCATATCACAAAATCCCTAGGCACACCACATCAAGTGAATTTTGATATTTATGGAAACACCCCATTACCTAAAGACTTGTAGCCCATTGTTGATGTAGTATTGAATTCTCAACTTAATGTGATTAAACTTAAGATTTAAGCAACTGATTTTACTCATGGGATGATTTCAATTCTTTATTTTGATGTAGTGTTCTGGCACAGACCCATGGTGGACCCTGTTCATCACTTAGAGAGCCTGAAATTTCTATGACGTGCATTATTGGTCAGAAAACATTAATTAGATTTTCTGAGTGCATGTGATACCCTGTTGATGTGGCTTTAGTGTAGACCTCCCAATATCTGCACTTAAACAAAGATGAGGCATTAAAGAGTTTCCTTGTCTTTATTTTGTACAATGAGATTTTAGATTCACCATGAGAATATTAAAGGATTTGTCAACAGTGACGTCAAGAGCTATTATATGAAGTGGCAGCGGCAGCAGTAGGAGATGCTCTCTGTCAAGCGGTCAGTCCTCCAGGAACCCTCACCACCATGTGGATGACGGACATGTGCTGAATTCCGAAATCAGACAGCAGCTCATCGTCTCCATCCAACATTTTATCTGTGAAGATGAGCCGCAGATTGTCCTGTCCTATACACACAAAGACAAAGACAGCAATGAACATAATCATTGTCACTCAAGCACAAAGAGATAGCCTATATCACTAAAAATGTAAGTTTACTTTCATTTACATTCTTGGCCTTGCAACTATGCCCCTGGACTGGGAATCTGTTTCTTCTCAGCTGGTTGAAGGCTTTAAAATAGGGATGGTGGGAATTGCAGGTCTGAACCTCTGATTCAGTAGTGATTTGATGGTTGAAAGACTCTTTTGTTAAGTTTTCTATAAATATCTACTGCTGTTTCAGCAATAGCCTATTTCAATGGCAAGTAGACCTCTAAAACTTTATTTGTTTGAGTGTTTTCATTTTGTGCTACTTCATAGGCCTACTTGTACTTCATGCTTGAAGGAAATATTGTAATTTTCACTCCATTTATCAGACAGTTGTAGTTACTTGTTAAGATTTTAATCACAAACATCAGCTTATAAAATATAATGCATTTCTATTTGTTTCAATTTAAATTAGCTTTATCAACCAATGGTATATATGGTATCACCATATGTAAAAGCATCAACAATAACAGGCTGAGACAATAATATAATAGCTAGAGCTAATAACACTCTAAAAGGAGCTGTGCTGCTTTTGATCCTTTAAATACGCCTGCACTTATAGGCTACTTGAGTAAACACTAGTGTTACAACTACAAGGACACTCGTTTCATGGAAAAGAAACGTGGGATATTCTGCTGATAGACAACGAAAAAAGGCTACAGTCAGCTTAATCCCTCGGCTAAATCATGTAACTTCACTGTTATCTACGTCAGATGGCCACAAGTTCAATTATGATTCCTACCTGCGTTCTCGGGAAGTTTCTGCCCTATCTTTTCCTTCAGCTGCATTACTGTCATGCTCTTCATCTGCTCCTCCGTGTTGCACAGGTCGATTGTCGTCTTCTCCCCCCTTAGCCCATTCAACACGACCTGGTAGAGTTTTCCCATGGTGTGATGTTTTTGTGCGAGTTGCTGCGCTGCTTTCAGTTCTGGAGAGATAATGCTCGCCTACTTCAGGATGTTGTTTAAGCTTATCACTTCTGTCAAAGCATAGGTCTGACGTAAGAGACAGACTGAGGATGCTTTCAGTTTCTCATTTAAACCTATTATTATTATTATTATTATTATTAGTATCCTATTATTGTTATTAGGATTATTGTTGTGGTGCCTTGCCTCTGGTGCATTCAGCGACAAACAGTTTTAAAATATAAAGACAAAGTAATTTTTTTTTCTGTCACTGTATGCAGTGTTGTTTTGTTTATCTGTAACTTTACTGATAGAAGGCTACAGAAATACAACCATTTATTGTGCCTCTGCATTTTAATGTCAGTATAGTAGCCTAAAACCACAACTGTGTGAATACATTAGTAGCCTACTTTATTCAATTTCTCAATCTTTTGACAAACTGAAATCACCTGATATCACATCATGATTGCCATATTAAAAGCTGCTCTAAACAAACCCATTCATGTCGTGGTATAAAAAGTCGTTTTTAATGTGATCACAATAGTTAATACCAACAATAATTAATATATAACTAAGAAATTGTTGGGGGTTTCCAGATCGGCATCCTACATTCACGTGACTTCTTGTAATTACCAGGGTGAAACTGGAAGTAAAAAACAAAACAAAAAACCAAACAAGATATCTTGGTGAGTCAGTGAAGGTGACACAACAGGCAGCTTCTGCGCTCACTGCTCACTTTCCGAGGTCAGACAGAGAAGAAGTTTGTCGACGAAGAAGAGAGGAGCTGATCTGAAAGAAAATGACAACACACGGTCACGAAGAGAAAAGATATGACCCCAAAGACACGACTCTGAAGTTTGTCAACAGACCGGATGATCTGGATCCACTACGTAAGCACAAAAAAATGGTTAGGATAAATCGCACTGTGCAAAATCTCCTTAATGAAGTAGCCTAACCTTAAGAACCTGTAGTAGGCCTAACCTAAATCAAAGGAATTGCATGTATTCAATGTTTATTGTCTATGTAAGAAACAGATGGAGACGTGAGACTTTATGTTCTTACATTTTGTGCAAAAGAAGTCAGGTGAAGGCGTTTTGGATGTGCAGTATATGTGACTGATGCTGAGTTCAGTGTCTGCTCTTGTTGTTTTTCTCTTCTCTCTTGTTTTTTTGTATTATTCTTTACACTTGTTAAAGCACTTTGTAACTTGTTTTTGAAAAGTGCTCTACAAATAAGGATTATTATTATTGTTGTTGTGCTCCTCAGCTCCAGAGGAAGGAGACAAGTGTCTCCGAGCAGAGATGTCCTGCGGTCATGCCGTCACTCCAGAGTCTCTCACTGGGTGGTGTCGCAGCCTGCTGGATCAGGTAGGCCTACTTTAGCGTCCTTTTAATTTACAGAGGACAAAGGTGTTTCTACTCCATGTTTGGTTAGGTGCCAACCTGTCTATAAGAATGACTTTCCTTTTGTTTTTGGATTTTGTGGCTCTTCTTCTTGCCTGAGTCAGAAACTTATAAAGCTATATTTCACATTTTGACACACATATTCCTTTAGCAATTCCCTAGCAAATGCGCACTGACTTCCTCCTGCAGAGGCTACATATCATTTATTTAAAAGTTGATTTATTTTTCTTTCATTCTTGACACTTAAGAAGTGGAAACAGACCATACATCTCAGCAGTGCATATTATGCTGATTTATTATTTATTAGTAGTTAAACATTTCTTAGTGTCTATTTATAAAAATCAAGTGTGAAACGGGCCACTTTTAGTGATGAACCTATACAGAAGTATCACCCAAATTTGCAGCTCCCTCTGGTTTAATGAGGCTTCATAGTGAGTTTAGCTGCATGCCTGTTGTTTTACTGTTTTTTTTCACTCTCACCGCTCGCATAATGCTATTTTTCAGCCACACCAGGCAGCTGGTTCAGAGAAAAGCTCTAAAAACAACACTACCTGCTCATTTGGCAACTAGCTGTTGAACACAGTGGAGTATTTAGCAGCTAAAAAGCTAGATATTTCCCTCAGGAGTTGGTGGAGACCAAACCAGAGCTAAAAGAGAGTGAATACTAGACTTACATTCATGAGGTGGACACAAACACAACTCATGAATAATGTTGCTTTGTAACTGCTGGATGTGTAAATAAGCAAATGTTAAGTTAATGTCAACTTAAAAGTTGATGATATATCAATATATTTAGAGCTTGTTAACGCTGCCTGCAAGAGGCCAAAAAATCAGTTATGGCAGGTGTGCTCTACTCCCTGTCATCCTGGTTCACCGAATTTTCATCTGCAACATAACATAATCTATTCTTTTATTTTCAGGGCCAGTACACATTTAAGTGCCCTGCTTTAAAGGATGGCACCTTGCAAAAGTGTGATGCAGTGTGGTCTTATCAAGAGGTGCGCAGGCTGGCAGTGTTGACAGTTGAAGAGATGCAGTACTTTGAAGAGAACATCGCCCGTCTGGCTGCCACCAAATACTGTGAATTCAAAACAGTAAGTGTCCCATTGCTGTCGCTATCTCGCAAAAATATTACAGACTGGTTTAGTTTTGGGTTCATCAGAGATTATCTGTTTATACAACATCCATCAATCATGCAGATAACGGAAATATCTTAAAGCAGTCTTTTTGGGCATATACTTATTTAGGTTACTGTATTGCAGCAAATTTGATGCGAAGACTGATAGGACCTACAACTCTGCATTGTGAATATTTAGCAAGAGCCAGCAGACGGTTAGTTTGGCTTAGCTCAGTGACAGGAAATGACAAGCCTTGCTGCAAATTTCCAAATTTTACTATGGCAAAGGCATGACCCACCCTGCCTCTGATGGGTCCTTGCTGGAAGAACAGCATGTTTTTGCTGTTCTGCTCTCTTCCAGCCTAGCATTACAGCGTAGCATTTTACACCAACTGTCACAGGGAGAAGACCAGGTGTAGGATATGAATAATAAAAAAAGTCAAAGTGAAGAGGTGGTGGAGGTGGATGGGGGTCCAATACAATTAGACCCTACAGTAATACAAAAGTTAAAAATAAATATGCATTGAAGTCAATGAAAAACCTCACACCGCTTCTAATACATGAGATATAAAAAAAACATGAAAAACTGTGCTTGTTTAAATGCAAAATATTTTTTGTCATCCTCCACAATTAGGTTGCTATGTATGATAGGAACAAATGGACTGCATTTCAGCAACAGCAGAAAAGCAAAAATTGTTTGTGTGAGGGCTAAGTGAGAAATGTTTGCACTGACTCTGCATAAAGATGGACGACATGTCAGCTCCACAAAGAAGAAGCCAAAATATCCTGATTGTTCCCAGGTGGCTGGCTGCAGTATAAGACCCTGCCCCTCCATGTTACCATGGCAGCACTTTATCCAGATATACTTTGTGTAGTGGCGATTCATCCGAAAAACAGTACTGTACGTAAAACAGAGCAAAATAGCATGTTTTCATATTTAATCATTTGTTCTTGGACAGACTCAACAAACAAAATACAAAATATTAATAGTAGAACTTCAGTTTCTCTTGAAGAGAGCAAGATGTTGAACTATTCCTTAATTTTTTCTTATGTCCTTTACAACAGTGTCCCGGATGCAAATCCAATGTGGAGAGAGAGGACCTGACTAACCTCAGCGTGCGGTGCACAATCTGCACATCAGACAGGAATAAAGTTTACGAGTTCTGCTGGCAGTGTCTGAAGGTGTGGAAAGGTAGTGCTCCACGCTCTGACCGCTGCGATAATGACGGCTGCATTAACCATGACCTTGAGCTTCTCAAGAACTGCAAGACCACCACCCTCCATCAGGTGCAGGGGGTCGACACGTGTCCCTCCATCCGGGCCTGTCCCACCTGTGGTCAGATGGTGGAGCACGACAAAACAGGCTGTAAGAACATCATCTGTCCTCGCTGTCAGGTTGAGTTCTGCTTTGTGTGTCTGAAGCTCACTCCTGAGTGCCTGAACACGAGCTCTTACTTCATCCCTTGCAGTGATGGTGTGGCTCCCAGACAAACCTTCATACCTGTGTGGCACAGAGACTAAGAGGGGATCTGCAAACGTATTCACTACTCATGCTGTAGCTTGCAGCCTTCTTCTGTCACAATATACTTAACTTTTACTGATTTCATTGTAAGATTATCTTTGCAATTGAAGCCAGCAGTGAGGCTTATATACTTCATGTACTGTTTGAGCCTTAAAGTAGTATTTTCTGAGATTGTTGTATACGGTAATGCGTTGTTTTTAATATCTGCCAGCTATGGCTGCTCCCAGTTGATCTCTGCTCAATATTAGTCAATCATTGATAACTGCTTTACTTAATAAAAAGAAGTTTCCCTTTACATGCATGCAAATTGTCTATTTCTATGACAGTGACATGAAAGCAAAATAGTTGCATTTGTCAACATGAGAGTCTAAACATCAAATTCATGTTTTATATATATTCATGTAGTGTAGCTGAAAATGTATCTGTCATTCAGAACAATACCTGGTACGGAAACATCTTTGCAGAGGCCCAAGAGGAGCTGTAGCACCCTCTATAGGTCAATCCCCAAATAACATTGAACAGTGATGACATGTCTTTTAAAGGTTCAGTGTGTAAGTTCTAGTGACATCTAGTGGTCAGCCAAGTGAGCAGTATAGCTACCGCACCTGAGACAGGACAAAGATGTGATCTATGAGATAAAAGAGATTGCCAGTCAAGAAATTAGGTTTCTTTTAGATATATTAAGAAATTATGTAAATTATGTAAAAACAAATGTTTTTTTTTTATATTATTGTTACTTTTTCATTAATAACAGCCACATGAAGAAATGAAGTGCTACATGATGTCTCATACTCCTGTAATACAGTATTTTACATCTTGGGAGGGTTGGCTCATCTGGACTAACATAACAAAGTAAATGAAGAACATCTCAAACACTATCACATCGAGTGCATCAAGTATGACCACCGACAGATACCAGAACAATGTAAGCCTCACTGTTTCTGCACCACAGCCCATTATAAACCACATAATACATGAAGTTTACAAAGGCTGGGGAGGATCAAGGCTCCTCTCACTTTGCTTAAGTAGATAAGCA